GTCTCCGACCGACTAGCCGCGTCTGCCAGCGGCAGTGAAAGCTGGCGCCTGCCGTGCCCGGGGCCGCTGGCCCTCTCTGGGGCTCTGCACCGTCCGTGCTGCTCCCAGACACCGTCTCCCTGCATGGCCTGGCACCTATGGTGAGCAGAGGGCTCTTTGTGCTTCTGGCTTTTTATTGATCCGTGTTAGTGGCTGGCTCCAGCTGCATCGTGACATCAAGCTGTAATCAACTTAGGGTGAACCAAAAACTCCCGGGGAGCGTTTCCTAAGAACAGCCAACAAACCAGGTCTTCCCCATCCTGGCAACGTTTCCATTAGGGTAACTGATTTAAGTCAAGCCCTTGGTGACTGGTGTTCAGATTACCCCCAGGTCTCGTGGCTGGAAGCAGCGCCTCAGCGGACAGCCTGTGTCTCCGGTTGTCACTCCCTGGAACGGGGCTTGGCTGCCGCACCAGCAGCATTACTGGCAGGTACTGGGCGGCATCACCTAACTGTCACAGAATGTTCCAGAAACTAAACTGGAACTGGATAGCAGGGCTTGGGACTGGTGCCACCCCACCCCTTGATTGGCATGTGACCCAGGCGCCTGAGAAGTCGGGGATCCCTGTGTGTGGTTGAAGGGGGGCCTGGAGTCCTCAGCCCTGGGTGGTCGACCCAGGCTGTCAGCCCCAAAGGGACTGATTTGGGGAGGTGAGACGCCGAGCGCCGGCTGGGAAGAAGCGAGGTGTTCAGGCACCCATGGACAGCAAGGCTTGGGGGGAGCAGGAGCCGTGGTTGGCAGGAGGACTGGGCCAGCCTGCCCCCACTCCTGCCCAGAGGCCTGTGTACGCATGCACCTCCGTTTACAGCAGAGACCTGCTTCGCCGGATCGGGGCCCGCGGGGGGGGGACGAGGCAGACACTACTCGCCGGGCTCCGGCTCCCTAGGAGACGCCGGGCCAGCGCTGCGGCCAGTCCGCACACGGCGAGGGGCTTCCTGGGCGCCTCCGTCAGCAAACATCTTTAGAGGCTCAGCCAGAGACGGGCCGGGGCCCGGGGTCTGCGGGGGCTGACAGCCGTGGCTGCTGGCTCGTGGGACGTCCCACGTCCCAGGTCCGGTCCCACGTGCCGCCGCACACGCACCACCTGGCGCCTCCGCTTCAGCACGCTCTCCGCTGGCGGGCGCTTCGGCCCGGGCTCAGAGAAGACTCTCGGGGCCTGACCTCCGCGTCGCCGGGAAGGGATGGCCTTGCCTTCCTGACACACTCACTTCCACCCCCTCGGGTAGAGGGGCAGCGCTGGCCACACGGGAAGGGCGGTCGCCCGCTCAGCTCAAGGAGCTGCAGTTACGGCGAGTCAACAGGCACCGTGAATGGGGGGTGACAGAGGGAGACACCAGACCCTGGAGATTATGGGGCAGAGAGCGCAAGTTTGGCTTGAGTCCCGCAGGACGCTGGTGGGGACGAAGGAAGAAACTGCTCCAGGCCCAGGCGGCCTGCGGAGCATCAGCAAAGCCAAGCAAGGACGCGTGAGCCCGCCTGAGCGCTCACATCCCAGGCGGCAGGGAAAGGCTGGGCTCGCCGAGATGCTCATCGCTGAGGGCAGGAGCGGAGTAAGGGACCAGAAATGCGGGGGTGCTGGGGGGCGGTGTGACTGAATCAGGGGTGAGTGAGGCACCCTGCTTGGAAGGCAGTCGACCGAAAGGAAGTGGGTGAGTGGCCCGTGAGAGAGCTGGAGTAGAGGGGTCTTGGCAGAGAGAACAGCCGTGCAGAGGCCCCCGGCAGGAGCGTGCCTGAGGCGCGAACAGCAGGGCACAGGGAAGAAAAGCCAAGGAGAGGTCAGCTGTGGATCAGCCTGAAGGACATGTCAAGGGCAGTGTCTCCTGTGATGGAGAGTGGGCAGGCACTCGAACTGGCTAATCAAGCTTTCATCTGCCCCGTGTGTTGGGACAGCGAGTCCCATGCAGAGGGGGGACTGGGGGGCTGAGGTGGTAAAGGGAGGCGGTGGTGGCTGTCCTCTCCTCCCCTGGCCCTGAGGGGAAGCCTTGCAAGCATGTCTGGAGCCTGCTGGCCCAGGGTGTTGGGGTCCGGATGGTGCCCTGGCAGGAATCCTGGCCTGTCTCTCCCAGCCACCTCCGTTCCTGGTCAATCGCAGGGGGCGCCCTCCCCCCCCCGGGTGGTGGCCCCCACACTGCCATCCTGGCAGCCGGTGCAGGATGAGTCAGCCCTGGCGTTCAGGGCTGTCCCCACCTCTTTCCTCGGCCTCCTCCACCCCAGCGTGGTCACCCAGGCGTGATGACAGCTTGTCCACCTCTAGCTGACCCTGGCCCAGGCCCCTCTTGCTTCAGGAAGGGTGCCCGACTTGCCTAGGGACCAGCAGGACAGGTGAAGGGTGCGCCCCTTCAGGGGGGCACCTAGGTGGCTGCACGAAACCCCCCTTGGGCCCTGTGTGCTGGCACATCCGGGTTGCGAGGCTGCTTTAGCCCCGAGAAGAGCGTCCAGGCTGCCTGGACCCAAGGGCAGGTGTTGTTTCTTGTCCACCTCTGACTCACAGCTCCGGCATGGGGATGTGTGTGGAGCAGCTGTGTGGTGGGTGCCCCAGGCAGAGCAGGAGGCCAGGCAGGGGTGTGGGGCGGAGGCAAGGCCAGCACTTGGGGGCCACATGGCCCTGGAGGGGCTGCTGCAGAAGCCACTTGCTCACCTGAGTCTGCAGGTTTGATCCAGGAGGCCGCAGCCCCGATGGCATTAGAGACATGGAGCGGCCGGGTTGGGGGTACAGTGTTCACGTTGTTGCCGGTGTTTGGGGGTGTCCCCACCCTCAGGTGTAGTTGCCACAGCTCACCCACCGCCGAAGCACCCAGAGCCCTCTGCCCTGTCGCTGTGCTCGAACAGGAGCGTGTGAGCGCCACCTCTCCACCAGGCCAGAGCAAGCTGCTGTTGGGGGCCGGTGGCGGGAGTGTCTTGAGGGTCACATTCCTCTGACTCTGAGTCCAGGCGCCCGCCCTGATAGCCAGGTCACCCGGTCTCTTAACTCCCAGCTCAGGGCTCTTCCCCAAGAAAGGACCTTTGTTACACTTCAGACTCAGACAGGAAGGAGCCCCTTTGTCACGGGGGACCACTGAACATCCCTGGGGGCTGAGCCAGCTGGCGGGAGGAAGTCCTGTCTATTCTTAAACTGCTGGTTGGAAAGCCAGTGCAGGGATTTGCGGCCTATCCCTGGCTCCGGGCAGAACTGGAGCCAAAGGTCATGCTGCCTCCGCTGCCTGGGCCTGCGGCCTGGCCTTGCCCTGCTGCTCCTGGGCCTTCTTCCCCTGCTGAGTCTTTCCAGAGCAGGCCCCCACCCCCAAGTCAGTGAACAGATTCACAGTCCACACTTGGCAGCGAAGTCCTGCCAGCCCTGTGACACGTGGGGACAGTGGAGACCAAGCTGGCAGGGGTGGACCGGTTGGCCCCAAGGCGGCTGAATGCAAGGCGTTCCCAGGGGCCTGAGGACAGACCATTGAGGAAGGACGGCAGCCTGGGTGGGACCTGTGTTCCCATGCTCCACGCCACGGGGCCATTTCCAGAGAGCTCGCCCCAGCCCTGGGATCAGAGGGTCCTTAGAGATGGAGTGCTATTTTACAGGGACTGGGACACCCTCAGGCGACTGGGGGGGGGGCGGGGGCTACCAGCAGCTGTTCTGAACTTGAAACTCATTGTATACATTGATTCCCTCTTTCCTGCTCTGAAAAATACCATGCGATGGAGACCAGTGTCTGAGCCTGTGAATTTGGAATGCATGAGTCTCTCTGTGCCCCCCAAGGGGACTCTCTTCTTCATGACACTTGGAATGCTTAGCAGGGGTGCACTGGCCTATAGACACGGCCATGCGGTGGAGGGGAGCATCTCTCTGGGAGCACCGCCAGTGAGCTTCATCCCACTCACCTGCCTGCCTTCCTGTGCAGCCTCAGGCAGGTCTCTTCTTTCACAGGCCTCAGTTTGTGCATCTCTGAAAAGGGAGTTAATTCCTCTTTGCAGACTCTCTCTCTTTTTTTTTTTTTTTAAAGATTTATTTATTTGTGCATACAGAACTGGGGCACAGGCCAGAGGTGCGGGGCGGTGAGAGGATTCACCAGAGACAGAGCGGGGAGCAGAACAGGGCGACTGATGAAGGACACTGCTGGGGGGAGCAGCGGGCGGGTCAGGAGAGGTCTGCCGCGCCGTGTGAGTCAGCTCTGGGCCGGGGATCGAACTCGCACTGAAGCGGCTGCGGCCAGCCTGCAGAGCTGCGCTCTAACCTGTTGTGCCACCAGGGAGGGCCCGTGCAGACTCGTGTTAAGGTTCAGAGAAAGCGTATGTCCTACTCGTTTCCAAGCCTTGGGACTGGTCCCACAGACCGGCACCTTATACTCTCACCCCCACAGTCCTGGGGCCTCGTCCAAGGGGCAGATGTCGGCTGGGCAAGCCTGTGTCCTCACCTCCCCTGGGGTGGGGCCTCCCCGAAGGGCCCATTTTAACTTAGTCACCTCTTTAAAGGCCCTGTCTGCAAGGACAGTCAGCTTCTGAAGTGCTGGGGGTTAGGGTTTCGTGCATGATTTTTTGGGGGGTGGGGCGGAGGGGCACAGTAAAACCCAGACATCGGTGATGTGCTTAATCCAGGTGGTGGAAGCGAGGGAGACAAGGTGACCCCCGAGTCAGCCCACTGGCATTTACTGAGCACCTGTTGTGTGCCGTCCACTTGTGGGCGCAGGGTTTCACCCATGATCCAGTGCGCCACGACCCCCTCAGAGCTGACTGGGAGACCGACGTCAGGCAGTGTGCGCCACAGAGCAAGTGAGCCCTGTAGGGGGGCTTTAGGAGTGTGGGGCGAGGGTCTTGTGTGTGGGGATAATGGGTGTTAGGTGGGCAAGGGGGGAGCAGGGAGGCCAAGCGTGTGGGTCCTCTGGGCCACTGCCCCCCCGCCCCCACCCCCACCCCCTGACCTGTCAGACCCGGGTTCCGGTTCTCCACTCACAGGAAGCCTCCCCTTCTGTCTCCTCTGCAGCGTCGAGGGCGAGGCCCCCAGCAGCGAGACCGGCACGTCCCTGGACAGCCCCTCCGCCTACCGCCAGGGCCCCTTGGCGCCCGGTTCCAGCCTGAGCCCGGACCGCTGCGAGCCCCCGTTGCTCGGCGCCTATGGGCTGCGCGCGGGGCCGCCGGGGCAGCAGCAGCGCACGAGGCGGCCCAAGCTGCAGCACTCGACCTCCGTCCTGCGCAAGCAGGCCGAGGAGGAGGCCATCAAGCGCTCGCGGTCGCTCTCCGAGAGCTATGAGCTCTCCTCGGACTTGCAGGACAAGCAGGTAGGGGGAGTGGCGCCCCGGGACAGGGGCAGGTGGCCCTGTGCCTGGCAGCCAGAGGTGAGGGAGGCCCCGCTCTCGGGGGGCCGAGTCTGCGCTCTCCAGCAGACAGCGCACGATCCGGCGCCTGTTTGCTCGGAACGTGGCCTTCGCCTCTGCCCGAGCACTGCCTCTTGCTCCCCAGACACGTGGAGGGGTTGAGAGCGAGGGGCCTTCGGTCAGGTCTTCCTCTGCCCAGTGCCATCGCCCTCCCCACCGGGATCACGCTCCATGCCCGGGAGCTAAGCCTCAACACCCACAGCGCCAGGACACCTCGGTGTTGTGTGGCCGCTCAGGTCCCAGGAGAGGCCAGGCCTCGGGCAGTCTGTGGGGGGAGCCCCCGGGAAGAAAGGAGGCGGTCACTTTACACCAGAAATAGCACAGGCTGTGAACAGAACACCAAGCCCATCACAGTCAGCCAGGCGAGGTTGCTTATTATAACCTCTCCGGTCTCCCGCCCTCTGCGTTCTCGTGGGAATCACCTCGCTGAAGGTCACACTTCCTCCCCAGATCCTCAGCCCAGCCCCACAGCGGGGTCTACACTGGGGTGTCTAGAGCGAGCCAGGGCCCAGCCAGGGGGCTCACCAGAGTTACCACCACCTCCAGTGGCTGGGACCATAGGCACATAGCAGCCCTTAGCCAGAATTCTCATGTGCAACTCAGATGGAAAGTGCCAGGCCCCAGAGGGCCCTCACCTGGGAAGCAGGTGTGCAGGTTTGCAGGGCCCAGCTTGCTTGTCTGTTTTTGCCCTGGCTCCCAGACACCGGGCAGTCTCATCCGGAGGCCCAGGACCCTTTCCGCTGTCCCCAGGCTGCAGGTGTTGCCTTACTGTCCCGCCTGCCCAGTCACCCAAAGCCCTGTTGGCCCCCCAGTTTGCCTATGTGTCTCTTACGCAGCAGAGGCCTAGATCGAGTGTGACTGCGTTGTCTCTGGGAAGTTCTGCTCCCCTGGTAGAGGGGACTGCCCCCCAACACAGTCCTCCGACAGCCCACTGCTCACTGCTGTTGCTGCTGCCCAGTCCTCCGGACAGCCTTGCCTGCCTCCGCGATGTCTCACCTGTGCGTCGGGACTGGCAGGGAGACCAGCAGAGAGCAAGTGGCCCCTGCCAGCCCGTGGGAGCAAAGACCGCCGTGGCCTGGGTCCCACAGCCAGGCTCACAGCGGTGGGGTGGGGGTGGCCTCTGGTCCGCAGTTGGTTACACCCAGATCCGAAGGGGATCAGAAACCAGCCAGAGTACAAGACATCAACAGAACCATTTAAATAGAAAGGAGAAAGGCTGAGACTTCATCGAGGCCTGTGCTTCGGGCCTCTCTCACGTGGTCCATGCTAATTGGTCGGTGCCCACTGAGTGCCAGGTACTGTGCTGGGTGTCGGAAGGCAACAATGACAGGGGAGGCCCAGTCCTCGAGCTGGTGCAGGGGACCAGGAACCACAGGCAAGTTAGCAATAAAAAGGGAAATTCCAGAAAGAGATGCAAACGATAGAGATTACAGTACAGGCCAGAGGAATCAGGGGACAGTGGGAGGGGACCGCCTTGGACAGGACAGCGGAAAGGCCTCAGAACTGAGTGTGGGGAAAGCCCTTCGGGACACGGGACAGCAGGTGCAGAGGCCCCGGGCCAGAACAGGCTCAGCAGAGGGTGAGGGAGGGGTAGGAGGGGGCAGCAGGAGATAATGTTGAGGTGCTGAGACCCCTGGCCATGAGGGGAAGGGACTGGCACGAACTCATGGCACTCGCCAGATGAAGGCAGGTGTCCTGTTCCACGAGGGCTTAAAGTCGTGGTGATGGCGAGGCCGTTTTGTGAAAGGCGTGGGAAGCTGAGCGTCACCCCACCGCGCCTTCTGGGGGTCCTAGGCTGAGCAGTGGTCCCCTGAGCAGCATGCCTGTATCACCCCCACCTCCGAGGCCCCCAGGAGGGCCCAGGCCCGAGGTCTTCCAGGGCAGGTAGGAGAGGAGGGAAGGCCGGGCTTCTGCAGCTCAGCCTTGGCCCTTTACCGGCCCCGTGAGTTTCCAGAGCTCTGTTCACAGCCCAGAAAACAAACTCTGCTTGCAGATGTGGAAGTGAAGTCATGATTCTGGATGGGGTTCAGTGACTTCAGGGCGAGAGAAAAAACAGACCCGCCCTGGCTGGCTGTGGGCCCTGCCTGGGCTTTGAAAAGCCGTTTTGATCCACACACACACCCCTGCCCTCTGCCCTGCCGCCCTCTCCCGGGCCCCAGAGCCCTGGCGCCTTCAGCGTCGGGGGCGCCCGTGTCCCTGAGTCGGGCGGCCTCTCAGAGCCAGAGATGACAGAAACTGAGGTCACTCACGCAGGAAGCGAGGGCACTTTGTCCTGAGGCCGTGAACCCACCTCCCAGCCCACGGCTGCTTGGACACCCAGGCTGCTCGATTCGGCCGCAGCTTGATTTGCTCAGGGCCTGTCGACTTTGCATGTGTCTGAACGTCTGTCCTCCTCGACAGACTTGTTTTGAGGGCAGGGACCTGATTCCCTTACCGCCGGCTTTGGTGCAGTGCCCAGCCCGCGGGCAGGTGGGACAGGACAGGCAGGGTGCAGAGCTGGCCCCCAGGGTGAGACGCCCTCACTCCCGAGGCCCCAGGCCCCAGGCCCCAGGCCGGCAGCCGGGAGCCGAGGGCTGGCGGAGCTCAGAGGCGGCCCCTTATTTTGGGCTTTGTGTGTTCCGAGAGTAGCCCCGATGCGGGGACAGTGTGCTTTGCCCTCAGGAGCAGGGAGTGGCCTTCAGCTTGTCCTTGATCAGAGGCCTTTGTGACACCCGCATGCCACCCCAGGGAGACACTGGACCCGACATGCCTGGGGCCTCAGCCAGGCCTCCCTCCTCCTGCAGCCACACCCATCTCCAGACTCAGGGAGAAGGGGCTTGAAGACCTGTGGAGGGTGAGCGCCTGCTTGGAAGCTGGCAGCCTCCCGGCCTCTTGTCTGGTCCTCAGTTTCCCTATCGGTACAGTGAGGGGACTTGGTCACCCACAAACTGTAAACGCCTTGCAGGGATGCACTGTGAGGGCCGTCCAGCCCCAGCGTCCCCACGTCTGGCTTGGGCCGAGCCCTGCGGCTGTCTCACTGTGCCCGCTGCTGTCCTGCGAGGCAGGCCCAGGCGCCGCCCCTCCTGCGGCGAGCAGACCAGGCACTGCACCGCCCGGGCTCGCTCGGAGGACGCCGAGGAGGACGGGGCCTGGCTTCGAACCAGAAGCCTGCTTTTCAGTACAGCCATCCTCTCAGGCTCCCCTGGAACCTAGCCCCCAGCCCCAGGCTGCCGTTTCTTTCTTTAAAAAAAAAAATTATTTTATTTTATTAAAGATTTATTAGATTTATATGTACCCCATATTAGAGCTGGGGTACAGGCCAGAGGTGCGGGGGTGGTGAGAGGATTCTCCAGAGACAGAGTGGGGAGCAGAACAGGTGGATCCACTGAAATGCACTGCCGAGGGGAGCAGCGGGGGGGGCCAGGAGAGGTCTGCCGCGCCATGTGGGTCCCTCCCTGGCTGGGATTGAGCTTGTGCCAGAGTGGCTGAGGCTAGCTTCATAATGCTGCGCTTAACCCATTGTGCCTGCCACCAGGGAGGCCCTAAGAGATGTATTTATTTATGCATACAGAACCGGGGTGTAGGCCAGAGGTGCAGGGGCGGTGAGGATTCACCGGAGACAGAGCGGGGAGCAGAACAGGCTGACTGATGAAGTACCCTGCTGAGGGGAGCAGCGGGCGGGCCAGGAGAGGTCTGCCGCGCCGTGTGGGTCCCCTCCGGGGCGGGGATCAAACTGACACTGAAGCGGCTGCGGCCAGCGTGCAGTGCTGCTTCCTAACCCGCTGTGCCACCAGGCAGGGCCCCAGGCCGCCATTTCAAGGAAATGAGACTGAAACTAGGCGGCCTGTCCTCGGGGAACCTTCTGAGACCCCTGGCCGCCCCCTGGCCTTTGTCTCCCCAGGATCTCCACCTCTGGAGGAGCTGCCTTCGCCTCCTTCGCCGTGTCCTAAGTGTTTGTTAAACAGCCAGCTGCAAGGTGAACCAGGACCAAATACCGCGGTGGCCGCAGAAGTTTGGGGAGCCACTGCCATGACAGGTTCTGAGAAGCAGGGCAGCGCCTGCTCTGACCCCGGCCAGGAGTTTCTCCCTCCCGGCCCAGCTGCCTCCGCGGGCGCTCGGGGCTGGGCTTCCAGAGCGGGCCCGCACGGGCCCTGTTTACCGTCTTTCCTTCTCGCCCGCCCGCAGGTGGAGATGCTAGAGCGGAAGTATGGGGGGCGCCTCGTGACCCGCCATGCGGCCCGCACCATCCAGACGGCCTTCCGCCAGTACCAGATGAACAAGAACTTCGAGCGCCTGCGCAGCTCCATGTCGGAGAACCGCATGTCGCGCCGCATCGTGCTGTCCAACATGAGGATGCAGTTCTCCTTCGAGGGGCCCGAGAAGGTGCACAGCTCCTACTTCGAGGGGAAGCAGGTCTCCGTGACCGAGGACGACGCCCAGCTGGGCGCCCTGGTGCCCGCCGAGTGCGGCGACCTCGGCGAGCCGCCGGTCCTCAAGTCCCCGGCCCCGCCCAGCGACTTCGCCGACGCCATCACGGAGCTGGAGGACGCCTTCTCCCGGCAGGTGAAGTCGCTGGCCGAGTCCATCGACGACGCCCTCAACTGCCGCAGCCTGCACGCCGAGGAGGCGCCGGCCCCCGAGGCGGGGCGG